CATTAAAGTATTTCGTGAGGCCTTCTAACATATTTTTAAATATAACTACGGTTGTATGCTAAAACAATGTCGGACACCGTAATCTTCTCTGGTCCCCTCCCCAATCTGATCAATGATGACATGTATAGCCGCATGTCATCATTTCAGCGCTGGTTGTCTTGGTGGTGCCCAGCAANCCGCTCATCAGAAGCCAACCTCCTATCCATCCCCACCCGCACCAATCACCGGACCTGGGGGGACAGAGCCTTCTCCGTCGCTGCCCCCTCCCTCTGGAACTCACTCCCACAACCCATCAGAGACTGCACCGACCTCACCACCTTCAAAAAACTCACAAAAACTCACCTCTTCAATCTGGCTTTTAATGTGTGATTGTTTTTGTATTATTTGACTTTAACTTTAACTATATATTTATTTGTTGTTCCTTACTTCTCTTTTCTTTTTTTCTTCACTATTATCTGTAAAGCGTCTTTGAGCACCTGTAAAAGCGCTAACAAATTAAATCTATTATTATTATTATTATTATTATAATAAGAACGATGGACTACTGTATATACGCATCTAGAACACTTTGCACCGCGCTCTGATAACAGAGAAACATATTCTTCATGATCGAGGTTGGAATTTTAATAAAAAAGGAAACTTATGCTCGTCTCCCTCCGGTCCACACGTATTAATCCACATGAATCCCAATACGTATGATTGTATGAAAAGATCTTAAAATAAATACAAATGTATCTATTATAAAGGTGTTAGTCCTTAACATCTATCACTGTGTATATCACCATTATTAAAACATCTTTTAAAAGTTTAAGAAATCCCACACAGCTGACTGAGCTGAGTAAACACTATGAAATGTTGACTTCATTTGATCATTTCAGTAAAAAACTAACGTTCATATTTCTCTTTTTGATTATAATACTGATGAACGTTCAAAACAAAGCACTTTGGCAACTTACCACATACGTTTTAAAATGCTTAATAAGCACCGTAACTTTCATGATATCATTTCTCGGTCATAATCGGTTGTTTCCGTGAACGGCCGAATGTTGTGCGATGGCAAATGCTGCGGCCGCAAGGCATTGTGGGGCAGCATTTTCTCCTTTTCTTCCGTAAAGGAAGGTCCAGTGTTTCCTAAGCTAAGGAGGTTATAAAGGAAATTTGAAACCTCCTTTCCTATCAGAATTCGAACGGCACTTGTCATGGCTGCCACTGAGGGACTTCCGGGTCATTTCACTCGGTTAGGAAGGTTCCTGAGCTAAATGGACTATTCGACTTCAGCCATTACTAAGAGTTGTAACGTGAATTTACATTTAGCCATGATTTGAATCTCACAATTCAATCCAACTCACCGCTTGGAGCTTCTTCTTGGCAGCCTTTGCCAATTCTGAGAGGTCCAAACTAAAAAACACAGAGACAAACAGTCAGACAGGCACCACAAAGATGAGGTGGAATAAAGAGACGGAGACAGAGGGAGGTAGGAAGACGTGGATATGGAGAGAGGAGCAAGAGGTGAGAAGGGGGAGGGGGATCTGCTAAAAGGGGGGACAGGGAGAGGGAGGGTACATATTAGATGGGGTGCTTTGGGGGTCCGATCCAAGGAGCTTAATGTTATTGGGATTGCCTTTTGAAGCCAGATAGGAAACAATTAGCCAAAGGGTCATTTTCTAAATACATGTTGATGTAGCCTGTCAAATATTTGTAAGACTATAATGATGTAGCATAACATAGATGGAACATTTAAAATAATTATAACTGCATTATCTGACATTTCACTTTAGCTAGCTTATTTTAGGACAAACGCTGGTTATTTGTGGGCCCTTTTTGACTATTTTCTAACAGCATCTACTCCTCAGAATTGGCTTGTAAATCTATTATTTCTTGTGATAACACATACAAACATAACATATATAACAATTACTGTGAAACCACTGAAGAAGAGATTGAAGCTCATGGATGTATGCAGCAGTGAAATATTCAAAAGATACAATAGCAGACATAGGGGATTGAATGAAAGAAGGGATTCTGGAAAAGAGGAACAAGGAAAGTAAAGATACCTCTGTGTCGGGCACTTAGGACGAGCTCTGGCTCCACCAAGCGCAGCGAAATGGAGAAAACAGAAGAGGAGTGAGAAAAAAAGGAAGAAACAGACAGAAAGAAGGGTAGAGAAGCCACATCAAAACAGCTTTAATTGTTAATATCAAGAGGAACCATTTACCATAACCGAACAGATGCAAGTGGAGTTAGATGGCAGCTGAGAAGTCTTACTTAACCCTTAGATGCACGAGTGGCTGGACCCTACACTCTTCCATAAGTGGGTCAAAAAGGACCCGGATTAGAATAATATGTGTTTTTATGCTATTTTTGTCATTTTGGTTAAGAAAAATCACTTGTATAATATTTAATATTATATTTTGGTTCACACTAGCAATATTTTATATTTAATTTTAGACCTTTTTTTATTACATTTTGAATAAAAAACGAAATTCCATAGAAAATGCATGCGGGTCATTTTTGACCCACTTATGGAAGCTTGGGGTAGTAATACAAAAATTACAATTTCTTAAGATGTACATTTAAAATTTGAATGGCATGTTATCCAAAACATGTTTTTTGAGGAATAGCTGGAATATGAAATGATAAAAAAAAAAGATACTCTAAGAAAACCACCTCACCGGGTCAAAAAGAGAGTATTTTTTTAAGCTACTGCTCCGACTCAACTGAGAAAACCCANAATCCCTCCTATTCTTCCAATATCCTGATGAAAAATAAAATCTCTCTGTTGCATAGGCCACTGTTTGATCAACGCGAATTGGGTGTGGGTCCTTGTACTCCGAGTCGGGCTAACGTCCACGCTAGCTTCCACGCTAGCTGCTATATGTTTTGCATTGAGGTGATACTTGAGGCTTGATGTGCTGCGGTGATACGCAAATTCCTTTTTGCATAATTTGCATACAACCGTGCTCTTATCGATGCTTCCATTCCGTCCGTTTTTTAAAACAAAATGTCCCATCCACGGGGCCAACCAAAGCGGTCTCATCAGCTTCTTCGTTCATGTTTGACTATTGTTCACTGTGGTTTGTTGTTGTCTGAAGTCATGAACGTTAGTTGGTGCTCCAGTATAATCGGTACCCCTGAAACTCATCCAGTGAGAAACGTTCCGCGGTGCAAAAATAAGTTCGATTAAAATGCGTTAATTTTTTTAACGCGTTCATTTTTGTGTAATTAATTAATCTTAATTAACGCGTTAAAGTCCCGGCCCTACAAATCACGCCATAACCATCAAGTCCTCGTGTATTAAATACCAGTTTACCTATTGTTGGGGAGTAGGTAATTCAATTTAACCTGTTTTATAAGAAATGCAATTGCAATGAAATGCATTTAATGAGAGAAATACCGT